TTGAAGGACAGATTTGACAGTGTAGCTATTTTGAATGGTAGCACATGATTCTGCTTTGCATCGTGGCATCCCTTCACAATAAAAAATCCCTCTTAACTAATGATCCAGTTATTAACACACACACTCAGCCCTGTGTTTCTGAGAACAAGTTCTCTCTGGCTTTTCCCTCACATTTTAAGTCAAGAAAACAAACATAGTCTTTTCCTTACATTATGCTGCTATGGAGTAGGGCCAAAGCTAAGGATGGGGGGAGGGGTATCGATTCCCAGTTCATTGCTGCAGCATGAGTAATGCCACACGGCCCAAAGGGCTGATGGCGAGCCAGCTGCTGTATTTTGAGAACTGGGGAGTTGGGAAACGTACTGAAAGAAGAATATTGTACTCAGGGTGGAGTACCTGATGACCTCATGCAGCCATATAAACCTGCCTGAGCAAAATAAGCAAGAACACTTTCTACTCTTCATACTGTTTTATAGCACCGGTTTACTTTTAGATGAGGTCTTCTCTCTGTTATAAATCTAAGTTTCCGCAAGTCACTCACTGTTTTTGCTCGGATGTCGTAGCCACACTGAGTGTTGATGACATCCTCCTATGAAGAAAAGACATTTAGAGAAATTGTCATATAATGTCGACTGCTTTCAACCTGGACTTCATTGTGATTGTTTGTTTTTTTTTAAATAAATGCAGAGATTAACATGTACTATTATATCCACAGGAACACTGCTGTCCAGCCGATAACTAGATGTGTATTGGTGTCCCCAGTGAACTAAACCTCCATAAATCTTTGCAGACGAGAGCTGTAGACCTGAGACTTAAGACTTGGATTTGAGTCGTATTAAGGTCCCAAAAAACTGGGACTTTAGACTGTACTTGAACTTGACTGTGTGAGAGACTGGACAGAATCCTGAAACATTAAGAAACAGACGGCAACAAGTAAGCCTTGCATAGCCACACAGGTAGGATATTTAATACCAAGAAAAACACTACACAACAGCCCAAAGAGAACGTTTGAAGGATAAGTGTGCTGATACAGATTATTTTTCTTATTGTCAACAAATCCCATGAAAAGACCAAAATCAACAATGACCTACCAATCACCTATTAACAAGAATTGTCTGTGTAGCCACAACCCCATAAATCTTCTTCTTCTGTGCCACAGAGCTTCATTGTTTTCCACAAAGTATTAAAAGCACATCAATGTACTATTATTCCTGTTTGAGTAAAGTAAGAACCACAGAATCCAGCTGTTGGTAACCCTTTTCATGTTCAGTAGTGGGCTCAGGTCTGAGTGCAACAGACAGGTTGGTATTTGATGATGGAAAACTTATAGCCTTATTCTTGAATGTTGTCTCATTTTAATGGTCAACTTTAAAGACTTGTAACTGAAAAACAAATTAACTTACGAACTTAACTTAATATCACTTAACACCTCTGCAAAGAACTCTAGTGGTTTCATTTTGAAGGCTCAGACTGAAAATGTTTTGGTGTGGTTTGTGTTTATTTTGTTAAGCAATTACAAAACACTGAAGTCGGATGTTTTCAAATGCAGGAAATCCAGTTCTTCAGTGCAAGTCATACCTCTGCGAACATCCAGTGCTATTCAACACAAATTGTTATGAAGTGTTGCTTTTAAAGAGGATGACCTTGGTGGAACAGCAAATAAAAAAAGACTCTTGTGCAACTATTATTACAGTGAAGCAAGTTTTGCTGAAACAGAGCACTGTCACCCCTTTGCACAGGGCGCAGCAGTTTGAGCATTTTTCTGCCTAAAAAAAATGCTTTGGTCAAGATAACTCCTCCCAGCTGCATTCAGGCTTTGCTGTGCTGGCAGAGTCTGAGAGGACTAAACACTGGGGGCTGGACATCCTGTTGGAAGCCAGCCATGACCGCATCAGCTAACCTTCTGGAGGACACAGATAACCAAGCTATCCGTCACAGGGAGGACCTTTACAATTTCCCCCTCCATCTACTGGCACTGTAAAGGTTTCAACATGTTACAAAGTGACCTGCTCAATTTGTACTCTAACTTTAAGACACAAAAACTCCAAATTACACTCATATTCTTGTTGGGTTTTTACCATACATGGGAATGAATGGCCTATGAATTAGAAAGCCTTAAGTGTGGTGAGTTTTTGGGATGACAGACCGCTGGATCTTTGGTGCAACAGGAAAAGGGCACTCCACATTTCTCGCGACTCGGGTTTGAATCAGTACAGTTGAAGTAGATGTTCAGATTCCAGTCATCAGCTCCAAAAGCTCCACAACACTCCCACTACAAGGTTAAACAGACACACAAATAACTCCTCACATATACAATATGCCACAGAAATGAACAACCATGATTAAACCAGGGTCAAACCAACACTGGAGTGAAATCAGTACTGTGGATAAAGATGTGCTCACATATTCCTGGGTGAAGTCTATTAGGTTCTGCAGATCAATGTCATCTCTGTAGGCCCGAATGTTGTTGTTAATGAAAAAGTTGAGCTGGTCCTTGATCCAATCTTTGAAGACAAAGGCCAGGACTCCTGCAGTCAGCTCCAGGAAGAAGATGATACCCAGGAACACGGAGAACTGAAATACACAAAAACATTTAGTTATCTGATTTAATAACAAATATCACTATGAGAGTAAAGCTGTCTGAGAAAAATACTTTCTAATTTCTTCACAATATGCTTGATAAGGGAACATACAAATTTGAGCAGGAAAGAGTTTTCTCGCAGTGCTCCGATGCAACCAGCGAATCCGAGGATGAACATCACACCACCCACTACCAAGAAGAGCCAGACTGGGTCAAACCCCCCCAGGTCTGTGATGGATGAGATGTTGGAGAGGACACCCTGGTAAAAGAGTGAGGGGTCATTACATTAAATTATTACAAGATAAATCATTTGAATTCTGATTGAAGTCCACTGTCTCTATGAGCATCACCAAGGCAAGTAAAACTAATAAACATTGTTTGGCAAATTTCCAAGCTTACAGTGTTCACCCTCCTTAAATGCCAACATTAATAATGTGAAGAGCTGAAACAATTAGTTGATTAATCCACTGATGCCAACTACTTTGATAATCACTTAATAGAATGGTCTGACATTTTGGGAAATACGCTTGTTCACATTCTTGCCCAGAGTCAGATGAAAAGATTGATGCCACTCATACATCTGTGTAGTCTGTATAGTGTCCAAAGGTAACCAAATCTCACTTACCAGCACCTCTAATCACTCTCACTCTCTTATCAACACGTTATATCTTGTTTGTTTGATCCGTACAAATTACAAAGTGTACAAAATGACGAGTTGTGGTTTTATGGGGGGAGGTTGCGAGCTGGCTCATTTCTTGCTGGGAGCAGTGACTTGCTAATGTCTCAGTTGGTTGCCTATCAACTGTTCACCAGCCAAGACAGAGCCCGGCATATAAACTCATGTAATAATAGCAATTACTTGTTTTTACACTTCAGTTCGTGTATAGATTAAACAAATGTTGTATTATGTCTTAATCAGTGAGCTTTAGAGGTGCTGGTAGATTAATTTTGTTAGCTCTTGACAGAGCCACACTAGCTGTTTCCCTGTTTGTGCAAAGCTAAGCCAGCCGACTGCTGGTTCAGAAATGAGACTGGCATCGATCTCACCAAGCTTTGCACATGTGAGTATTTGCACTTTCCTCTGTTTTATATCAAATGTAAACTGGACTGTTGATCAGACAAAACAGTAAGACGGCACCTTGGGCTATAGAAAATTATGACTATGAATTAAATCTTCTGACATTTTATTAACCAAACAATTCATCGAGTAATCAAGACAATAATAATGTGATTAACAAATAATTAAAACAATCATTAGCTGCAGCTGTATGTGAAGGATGAAGCGATAATATCTTGATCTTCAAAGGTTCAAGTCATGACACTTGAAAACCCTGGTGTCCCCCTTTTACACCCCCAGTTCTGATAGGAAAGAATGAATGAATCTGTGAAATGCATCAGATCCTTTTCTGTCCATTGTTCAGGTGGGCGTCCCACCGCATGACATTCCTTTCTGATTCAGTAAAGCCACTGCTAGCATTTGGTGCAGACAGATGGGTGGAAATGACAGGAGATGAATGTTATTGATCTGCTTAGTTGATTATTTGCAGGCGTCCTTAAGTGAAAGGACTGACACAATTAATTTATTCAACATATTGTTACATGGAGAGAAAAGCAGTAAACTCACCTTTTCGCTCCATGCCCACAACCCAATGCCGAGGAACGCCACTCCAAGGAACTAACAGACAGACAAGAAGATTATTTTGCTTGGGCTGCAACAAGTAGTCATTGCCTAGAAGCACAGAGAGATTTTCCTGGCAGTGCTCCATTACTAAATATTCCTCATCTGAGTCTGCAGTATCAGCAGGAGACTCCCACATTAGAAAGCATCTTTTAACAGCTTGGACGCATTATGACTGAACAAGTTTCCACCTACAGTGTAAAAGTTCAAAACCACGTCTCATGATTTGAAAAGCAAATCAGAGCATAGCCAGCATTTTGCAACTGGCTGATGGCCGCGTTGATATAATGCACAAACATTAGATTTAATTGTAATTATAATTTATTTCTTTAAATTGATATGCAATGGTCATTTTAGTAATTTATATATACACTCATTTGCTAGTTACATTTTCACAAGAGCCAATTATTGATTGACTAATTTGCTTTTGTTTCATATCATTATGACACACACATCATGAGTATCTGCAAATTTTCATCTTATTTTCATGGCTAGTAAAACACATCAATTTCATTTGTGGCTACTTTTCATATACTGCATGTGAATTAGCAAAACAACAACTATAACACTTAAGTGCAGATGACTGATGTTGTACCAACCCCAGAGACCAAACAGATTTTGATGACATAAGCCTCTGCTCTAAAAACCTAAAGTTTTACTGTAGGTTTGCATCTCTAGGGTTAGTTGCAAAATGGATCATTGAAACACTGACGTGGTGGCTTTTATTGATCCAAACTGCAGGATGTGGGAACATACTGACCCGACAACTATCCACAACAACAGAGCAAGCTCTCCAGAGGAAGACCATGAGATGTGCTTAAGCTCTAGAATTAGTAGGTGGACACTGTGTTAATAATATTTTATCAAACCAGTAACATATAGTTTGGATATCATAGATTACACATAAACATAAGTCATTTGATTTGGTCCTAAACTTAATCTAAAAATGTCATTCCTTCATAAGATTAATAACATGACAAGAATAAAAACCCACTTGGCAAGACTGCGTAAACAGTTACTAACAACAAGTTAACAAATACTGATGCTCTTTAAAGAACTGCTGTTATTAAACCTTTAATTAGACCCATTTACAGACTGGGTCCTCGTTAAGGTTGTTAAAATATCCCCCACTAAACAGATATAAAGCACTTTGCAGATTAACTTTTCATTGGATCATTCGTGAAACAGGTGCAGAGGAAGGAGAACAGATGCTTTGGACACAGGCAACTTCCTCTGATGATATTTGAATGGTGAAGAGATCGAAGAGAGACTGACTGCACGGTTGGCTGAGAGCCTCTGTAGGGCCTGATAGGTGGCCCCACTCTTCATCACTCTGAGGTCAGTGAAGGGCCACAAACATAGTGGCTCCACTTACGCACAACTTTCAAAAAGGGGAAGGTGATATGACAATATATATTGTGGGACAATATAAATCTGACAAATCAAATGTTTTTTACATTTTTTTTTACTGTCTATACTGCTGTAGTTGTAATGTTGCTGGACATGAGTCAACAGGACTTGTTCACAGCAGGTGTTTTGACATGTCACCAAAGAAAATGTACTTATTTAAACTATAAAATTAATGATGGCTGAATTCCATTTAGCTGCTTCAGTTTCAGGGTCTTTGTATTGCTCATGCTGACACCCAGTCACAATTTACTGAGACACTTGTACTGTGTAAAAATATCAATATGTGAAGTGTTAGGTATTGAATTTACTGGATTAGCCAAAAGCTGACAATCCCATCTGGTTAAAAGTGAATTGATGTCACTTTGGACTCTTTTTACTACTTTCTGAAGTTTATAGGCTAACTGTGTAATCAAGAAAATACTCGATAGATTTATCAGAAATGAAAAGACGGGTTTAGCTGGGACATAATCAGCCCGCATCCATATTAGGGGTGGAACAAATTATTATTCTCATTATTGATTAATCTATTAATTTTCTGATTAAAAGATTAATGTTTAGTCTATACATTTTTTTTTTTTTAAACACTCATCACAACCTCCCCAAACCCCAAATTATTATATGTATTATGATGTAAAACCTGCCTGGAAAAGCAGTTTTCATTTGAGAACCTGGAACCATTTTTGGTTGAAAAAGGATAAAACAAACGATTTTAGTTTTCTATCAACTGGCTAAACAATTAGTCTACTTCTCATTGCAGCTCTAATCCATATGCCCACCCCTCCTTTTAGATAAGGCATACTTTAATACTTTGTATAAATGAATGAAATAAAGTCAATTGTTATCCCTAATAGCCCCTTTAAAAGCCTGCCTTATTCCCTACTTCTTCCCCACAGTAAAACAGTCAGGGAGAATTTAAAAATTAGTAACTGGGGAGCCAAAGTTGGACATCCAGAAGTCCCTAATGGTGTTACTCTGGTGGGTCCAAATCACAAGAGGAAGATTTCACTCAGATACTCTGATTCCAGTTTGCACTGCCCCTGCCCAAACATCACTGACACTGACAGTAGGGTGTCTTGATGTAAACAAAGTGATGGTATCTAAAGCAGTGAGGAAAGTCCTTCACCAGAGCCCCCCCCACACAGTGATGCTGCTGTCTACACAAAAACAAAAGCGTGCCGATAGGTGACAGTGGGAGCAAGTGCACACAGGAGCAGTGAGCCTTTTTTGAAGGGATGAAATCACCCATTACTCATATAAAAAACAGCAGGGAGAAGAAGAAAAAAAAACATAACAGAACTCTTCTCTCACAGAATGTGAAACCGAAGCGTATTGTTAATGGAGAACAAAAACATGTCATGTCAGTGCATTTAGATGAGGACAACAGGCCTGAAGTCATAAACAACAAACAGGGGACTTACCCAGAATATTATGTTGAATCCGAAAATGAAATACTTGATGCAGCAGCTCACTTCATGAGCCTTGAAATGCTTCCCTGACATCATTTTGGATGGATTTTGTTCTTGAACGCCGCCCGCAGTGGGAAGGAGTCACATTTATGGTCCTCTTGTGTTTGACAGCGCTGGTTGTGGAAACACCTTCCTTTATGTTTTTCCCAAGCCTCGACAAAAGCGCCGTCAGTTGTTTTAGCGTCTAATTATAAACATCATCCTGTATTTCCGCTGACAAAAGGCGCAAATGTAGCCGCAGAGGAGCGTTTAGTCTGTCACTGTCAGGAAAGATATCAGTTTCTTCCCGATACGGATCTCCTAAGATATAACGGTGAAATAAATCCACTAAAGTCAACCAGATTAAAACCGATGGTCTTCTATCTGACCCATTATCTAGACATGGCTGTTGTTTGATTGACACGTGTGGAAACATATGAGGAGCTTTAGTGGTCATGGGAGGCGGGACTTCCTCCAGCAGAGGGGTGTCTGCCCTCGTATGTCCATTAAATACAGTGTGCCATGATATTTAATCATTTATAATTTATTCATTACTAAGTAATTAATTTGGTTTATAATAGAACTATCAAATTAAACCTAATTAGACCATTTGGGCTTGGGAGATTCAACGCGTTCAATATTAAATACAGCAATTAGACACTGTGGAATTAATAATCATATGAATAAATACAGGCAACATATATCCAAAATAATATGAAAAACAAACTCAACTCATCAGTATGAATTCCATCCTCCTGAGTTCATTGTAGGTTATTTTAATTTGATTCCAGCAGTTGTCTTAGTTAAAGTGAAATTATGATTAAATTAATTCAATTAAATTAAATTTAAGTGATACTCAGCAGTGACTACATTATATTTAATGTATGATTTTTTATATTCATACATAGTGATGTAATGCATATGAAGCTATTTCATTCATTTTAGGATTTAGATTATATGTTTCTAACCTAACTTCTGTAATCTATTCCTAAAATGTGCTTCACCATTAAAAGCAGACTGAACCCAAGAAGAGAATTAAAGCAGAAGAGTAGAAGTGATGTTTTAGTTTATATTTACACATCAGCAAAGATCTAGTTTAGATCTCGCTTTATAAAAGGTGTTTTAGTTAATTTACTCTTTGGAAAAAAATGTCTGATGATGACATTTATCACATCTGTCTCAATAAATAAAATAAAAATCCATTTTAGTTACAGTGGGTGTTTGTGTCTGCAGAATGGATGCGGGGTGAATAACTGGGAGCAGCCCGTTTTTTCCTTGTATTTCTCTTTTCTTTTGTTGCCCTTTGCACCTTCTTGTATTTTATTCATTGTATTCTTTTGTACATGTTACTTGTTGCTAAATGTATTTTACTGCAAAGCGCATACAGATTACCTGTACTGCTACCATTTACACATAATAAAATTGCAAGTGTATGTCTAAAAAATCTGTACATTTGTAATTTTTGTTGTGCTGTGGAAGACAGCGCCTGTAAGTAACTTCAATCACACATTTCGGACTTATCTAGTTTTCTTTAACTGGAAAATGAAGGTTGTTCTAGGGTTCTCAGTGCTGAGAAAAATAAAATAATGTACATGTGGCAAGATTTTGCCCCCTGGTGGCAAAACGTTTCATGTGCGTCATGAGTGGCAATCCTCAGGCGGCTGCACTACATGCACTACAAACTATAATTAAAGGCAAATACTGATGATGCATGCATTATGCCAACATCATTTGTAAAATAAACACTAGTCATCATTTTTAAGTACTGGCTTGGTTTATTGCATAAAGTAAAATAATATTCTAATCTATTACAAATGGTTGTTTACAAAACAGGATAAATTATGAAAATAAATATTTCTGTGCAGTTTGTCTCTATTGTCAAAGCAGGCAGAGAAAAATGGATATTTCTACACACATAAAAAAAAAAAAAAAGACTCAATGGTTATGAGATCATAGTCACACCTCATGCCAAGACAAATATCCCAATGCAGAGGGCAGCATTAAACAGGTTGTCCTGTTCACACAAACTCCTTTATCTGAGAGTCACTGACTTACAAACAATCCAGCATCATGGGTTAGACTTATGATTCAACACGATTTGCAGCAAAATGCAAGTATTCTTGGGCACTATTACGACTTCATTACATTGTCAATACTGTCCGCATAGTTTCTCTTGAAGATAGAAGGAAGAGAAAAAATAATAATATTTGGCAATACGAAAGGTAGTAATCATGCAATATCAAAAACCATTCACCCTTCAATTTCTGGCTGCACTTCACTTAGAAAAATATAAATTGTTTTGAATTTCACAAAATACTTCATGTTCTTAAAAAATATCACTTCAGAAAATATTTTTTCTTTGTAAATCACGATCCTTCATTTGATCCTTCATGTGAGCATAAGTGACTTTAGCGGACTGAGTTCCCAGAAGCAGGAGGACATGAGTAAAATAATATTGGCTAAACAGCTTGAGGCAGTTTTCAAGAAAAACATTCAAAACAATGGTTTGTAGTGAAAAAGCTTTGGTGATCCTTGTCTTTCAGAGTTAGTGTTTAGCTTTGCAACACCTGACAAACCTCCCTTTTATATTCTACACATACACAACGTTTCAGTCAAATGAACACTGATGAATAAGACTAGGTCAGAAGTAATAAAACCTAATCTGTCCCACAACTTTACCTGCTATAACCTAAACCTCATGTACATTTGTTCTTCCCCTTTTAGAGCAGTTTCAGATACATCACACAAGCACACAGTGTACATTCTTTTGCTTCTGCAGTCCATTATCCTGTTTGATTAAGGCTTTTTTGCACAGTTGTCAAAATGTTACATTTAGCACAAAGTCTAAAATACTGAATCGGCAATAAATAACACTGAAGAGGAGTTTAAGAGTGGAGACGAAATGTGTCGTGAAGACTTAAGAATCAAAAGCTGCACATTAGCAAGCAAATCTTTGAGTATATAACTGTAATTATCATGTTCTGAAATGCTACAGGCCGTGCATTTAGCCAAAGGCTTTTGAGAACGATTCTTTATTTTGTGCAAAATATATAATTACTTCCTTGAGCAGTCAATCATATTTCAATACATTTTAATCTCACATTAATTTTTTGGGTTCTTTGGGTTTTGGCCAATATGAAATGGTACCTGATCATTCAGAAATGTACATTACTGAAAATAACTGCATCTTGCATTGTTAGTTAAAATATATATCTATACACAGGAATATATTAAATACATTTCTAATAAACTATCTTGAACAATCACAATGGCATGCTGGCAGTAAAACATAGCACACCTATGACAGAAAGAAGCCTATAGTGTCTCTGACGTTTAAATGAAAATGCCTGTCGATAAAGAGGGCAGGTATAACAGCCTGAATCCATTATGTATTTAAAACACATAAGGCTTTGTGCGAAACACCTTCTTGTAACACGTCTGTAACATAAACAAGCTTGTTGATTCGTTGAGCATAGCAAGTTTGGCTAAGCAATACAATATGAAGCCTGAGCACTTTATGCGTTAATCACAGTTAATCACAGAATCCAGTGCTTTATTGTTTCTAAACATGGTTTCATAATGTCCAGACTGCACCTATGAGATGCTATATTCATATTTATAAAGGCTTTACAACGCTTTATAATGAGGTTTTCTAAGTTACTATAAAATGTACAAAATCTTCTCTTTAAAGAAGCCTGACATGCATAATACTAATACGTACATGATCTACATGAACTCTTAAGCAAAGCCTGAGAAGGTCTTGGTTCACTATAAAGGGTTCTTGGCTTTGATACGGTGTTAATTAAAGTTACCGTGTGTCCTGTTGGACTAATTTGTGACACTTTTTGTTCCTTGACAGAGTTGCATAAACATTGCTGTGTATTTAAAACCACACCAGGGACAGAAACAGGAAACGGAAAATCCTTAATGGTTAGCCAAAATGTGCATCCCCTACATTGCCCAGTCACAACAGCACCAAGTGGCGGCAACCCGTCTAACAGACACAGTGGGGCGTCTTGTTTGGATTTGTACTGATGAGAAGTGTTGAAGCACGACCAGCAGAGCAGCAGATTCAGGTCACCTTAAGTCACCTTGATAGTAGACTTTTTGTGGACGCAGAGCAAGGAAACGTAGGGCACGCCAATGAAGGCCCATTTCTCGTTGGGCCAAAACATGATGACGGGTCCCCGCTCCGGGGCCTCAGTCGCAACGTCAAAGTAGGCGAAGCAAACACAACCCAAGTAGGAAGCCAGGCAGATGAGGATGTGCCTGTAAGAGCAAGAGGAGTTTAATTGATCCCAAACTGAACTAAATATACATTATGTGTTTGCAAGTGCAGGATAGTAACAATGCAGTCATCAGCAAAGAAAGAATATTTCTACTTGTTATTTCTACTTGTTTTCAATGCAAATCACCACATTTTTCTGGTATTTGGCAAAATTTCCCTTTTTGCACAGTTAAATCTTTCTTTATTTTAATGCAGCATTGTAACTTATTCTTTCATGGTTCAAGATCCAGATCCTAATTTCTGGAAAATTCTACTGGAAATAAGTTGAAGTAATTTCATTGCACTGGCAGATTTTTTCACATCTTATAAGATAGACATTTTAACAGCAGGCACTTTAATAATAATAATAATAATAATTTAACTTTTAGTGCATAAACTGTATAAATGATAACGTTAATGATAGTCAAAACTATACTAACTATTCTGAGTTGTCTTTGAGCTTACCATGCACAGTGTAAGTAGGGAAAGTTGACAGATGACCACATTTCACAGAATATCCTGTCACTGATCCAGCAAAGCAGAGCCAGTGCCCACCAGATCCCTGAGATCAGGCCCAGCTTGAACACACGTGGGTTTTCACACCTGCAATGACCAAACAGAGCACTGAGAAATGTATGTGTACAACTGTTAAAACACTAGGGGGCAAGTCAAAAAAGCAACAAGGGATCATTTAACTTG